GTTTACTTCTTTGATATGCAACATGAAGCACAGTGATATTGGCCTGATCAGCTGTATACCCACAGTTGAATGGCACTCCAGATGTTATGGGCTAACTGTTTGTATTGACCCGAAATTCGTATGTTGAAGCCCTAACCCCCAGTGTGGCTGTATTTGGAGACGGGGCCTCTAAGGCAGTATTATAAATACGGTGAAATGAGGTCATAAGGGTGGAGCCCTGATCCGATAGGATTAGTGTTCTTGTAAGAAGAGACACTAGAGAGCTCGCTCTCTCCCCGCTTTCCATATTTGGAAGAAAGGCCGTGCCAGGACACAGGGAGAAGGCGGCCGTCTGCAAGCCAGGGAGAGAGCCCTCCCCAGAACCCACCATGCTGGCACCCTGATCTCAGACTTCCAGCCCCCAGAACTGTGAGAAATCAATGCCTGCTGTTTAACCCGTCCATCCTGGTATTTTGTTACATCAGCCCAAGCAGACAGATACCCCGGATCAAAAAAAAAATGTAATCTTTATGGTCACAAGAAATAAAGTTCACTTCAACTTATGTAGGTATTTCTGTTGCAGACGAGTACAACAGAGTAGTTAATAAAAGGCTTAAAAACATCAAATACGTAACACCGAGATAAAATTCTGCAGGGAAAAAGAAAGGAAACGCAAGTCCCCGGGCAAAGGGGCGTACGATTTCTAACCATAAAAGAGCTTGTTCGCGTACTTCTGAGCATGTTTGGTGGCGAATGTCATGTTGCAGTCATATTTGGGACCCAGAGGGCACGTTTAAACCGTGATGAAATGGTCTCGTATTAGAACGTCCAGGATGATGGTAATTAGTGGGAAACCGCATCTTTTGCAACGATCTAAACTTACGACGGAGACTGTCAGGCGGCTCCAGTCCGGGCCCTTGACCACTTCTCTTTCTGCCGTTTATGGAGCGAGGGAAAGCGCGGGCCAGGACACCCGGGGCAGCGCCGGGACTCGTGTGTCACGGCACAGGGGGAGGCCAGGGCCCACCCAACGCAGCAAAGGGGCCCTGGCGCAAAGGGACTTGGACCCTCTTTCTAAACAGGGACCGCATCCACGCAGCATTCATACAAAATTTTCAGTGGCTCAAGTTGGAACTGAAAAGGCAACAGGAAGGCGAGTCAGCAGCTCGGCCCCCGAGGGACGCTCTTGGCCACCGCCAGAAAGCTGCCCTGACCGCACGGAGGAGCGCCCCTCGCCCCACCCAGTGAACAGGCCGTCACGGACGCCAACCTTCGATTTTTTTTAAAGGTTTATTATTTCAATAGTGAATCATTTTGAAAAGATGATAAAATTCATTTCTCTTCCAGTCGAGAAGGGACAACAGGCGCTTGCCCCGGGACCCAGGAGCGCGGGGCAGAGGGGGAGCCCACCCCAGGGCAGACACCCTGCCGACGGGCCCCCGAGGCCTCCCTGCCTCCACGCTGGCACCTAAAATCCGAGGGACCCTGGGCCGGGGGCAGCTCGGGGCTCAGCTTGCTGCCACGCCAGCCAGGGAGTGGCCGGCTCAGTGTACAGGACTGTGTCAGCTTAGGCTGGAGGAAAAGGGCCTCTGACATCCAAACCCAGTGCCTGTGCGGACCTCAGGGCACCCCAGGTCCCGCGAGAGGGTGTGGAGACCGGGGAAGCAGCTGCCCCGGGCATCCCGGGCCCAGGCAGGCAGGAAAACCGTGGCCAGAGCTCGCTCAGTGCCAGGCCCCTGCCCGCCTGGCTTTGGCACCGCGAGGCTGCTGCCCAGCCTGGGCCTCCAGGACAGCGCCCGGCCCCGGAGTGAGAGGCCCGTGCCGGAGGGCGAGCTGCCAGGCCAGGGCTGCAGGGTTTTGTCCTGACGGGAAGGGAGACCCCAAGAGGTGGCAGGAGTCGTCAAGAGCCCGGGCCCAGCGGCTAACGGCCAGGCTCACCCAAGGGAGGGACGCAACGCCCGCAGCGCCCGTGGTCAGGCTGGGGGTCACATGGAAAGAAGGTTCCAGTACAGTGCTTGTTGATGAGCGCCTCTCCCCGAGTCCCGTCAGCAGCAGCTCCGTCCCTGAGCGTGTCCGCCAACGCCTGTGCACGTGTGTGCGCGCAGGCGCGGCCACCGCCGGGGCTCAGGCTCGGGGGCTGGCGGGCTGCCCGTGGAGAGAGTCCTGCAGGAGCGGGGTGCAGGGGCTGGGGGGCTGCTCCGGCCCGGCGGCCAGGCTCGGCCGGCTCCCGCCATCCTTGGGACCCTGCGGAGGAAGGCGAAGCTGGGTTACCAAGCCCCGGCCCGAGCCCGCCCCAGCCCCCCACCCAACCGCCCGCCACGAAACCCCCCTCTAGCAAGGCACAGAGAGGGGAGGGGAGGCTGGAGTGACTACAGACTTCCGGAATGTTGCTGCAGAGGGCCTCCTCGTCTCACCAGCCGCCACCTGGCCCTGCCCCACCCTCTTTACAGATGGGGAAACTGAGGCCCAAATACAGTGAGGCGCACAGCGAGAGGAGGGCCCGTGTGCAGGCACACTGCGAGCACGGAGAAGCTGGAAACGGCCTGGTGTCGGGGACAGCGGGATGCGTTTGTAAACAACAGTCGCAGCAGGGTTCTCAGCCTGGACAGTGCCACGAACACAGCGGCAGGAAGGCGGCCACAGTGCGCTGCGTACAGGGACAGCAGGACGCCATCTAGCAACACTCCTAAGAATCACCTACCGCCGTGGAGGCAGAGCACAGGTTCGCCGGGAAAACCCACATACTGAACTCCTGGCAATGGCGGCCCGGGTCGGGGGTGTTGGGGGTAGGGACAGGGACGTTAACAATTCGTAACATTAACGATCGCTAACATTTGCTGAGTCTGGTGAGAGAGAACTCACGTGATACTGTAACTTACCTAGTTTTACATTTTTAAAACTTTCTCCGGTCAAAACAATCAAAAAATAAAGACGGCGATGATGGTAAGAGTGTGGGGCACCTCTCTGTCCCCTAGCTCCCCGCCTCCCTCTGAAGAACAGAGGCTCCTCGCCCCAGCAGCTGCGGCCGGAACCCCAAACCCCCGGGCTGGCTTCACCACGGGGTGGTGGGATCGAGCCCCAACTCTGCGCAGACAGCGGGCAGGGGGTGGGGGATGCCCGGCTCCCCTCGCTCTGGGACAGATCTGAGGCTTCCGGCACCCAGCCAGGCCGAGGGAGACCAGCCCCCCCACACCACGCCCTCCGCCACACACAGGCAGCATGTGGCACCCGGGGCAGCCAGGAACTCAGCAATGTGGGCCTAAGAGCCATGACTTGACAACGTCTCACTCAAAAGTCAAAAGGGGAAACGACCCCCAGGCTGTAAAAGGACCCCCCCCAGTCTTTCCCAAGAAAGATACATGTAACAACCCCCCAAGGAGCAATAACAGGAAGCAGATTCTTGCTCCTCCTCCAATCTATTATTGTTTGATTGTGGACAAAGGACTTGGAGTGGGAGAAAGATCAATAAGACGCTAAGAAAGGTCCAGGAATATTTCCCTGAAGGGCTGCCCTGCACAGTTGTCCAGGCTGTTCACTGCACAAGGGCACCTAGCTGAGGGGCTACAAACGAGCCAACATGCTGTTTTCCAAGTCCTCTGCCCTAGGCAGGCCTCATCTGCCCAGAGGAGCTCTTTTCCTTATCCATATAAAAGTACCCTTGCATGCTAGCACCTCCTTTTCCCAAGTAAGGCGGCCCCTTAGGGCCACCCCCAAACCCAGGTACAGGGCAGGTGTGGGGCCTCCCCCAGGGACCCAGGCCTGAGACTCAGGACAGGATTCAGCCTGGGGCAGAGGCTGCCGCTGGCCACTTTCCAGGTGCAGGTCCCCAAGCTGAAGCCAGCACCATTAGAGGACACTGCATTTTCCAAACGCACATGACTAGGGGCGGTGGGGGTCCTCTGGGCCGGGGCTCAGGCTGCCTTCCGGAAAGCAGGGCAGCAGAATCTCTTTAAGTCAAGCACTTGTCTAACAACCTGAAAATTGGATTCTAACGGCAAAATAAAGAGGAGGCCCCAGTTTTGTTTGGGGGGCACGTGAGGGAGGTGCAGCGCGGGGCTCTGGCCATAGCGCCATCTGTGCCAAAAGTGAACAACCCCCGTCTGCACCGCTGAGGACCCCTGCCGCACGGAGGATACCAAGCAAGTGCGTGCAGAAGGGCGTCCCGGCCGGAAGGAGGCCAATTGTGCGCAACAGAAAGGTGACCTGGGGGAATCCTTGGCAGAGGGAGGGAAGAGGGCCCAGCTAGGACCCCCGGCCCCCAACCTGGGGACCCTGTCCTCAGGGGGACACTCTCTTAAGGCTCCGCCCCGGCGTGGTCAGACCCTGTCCCCGACTGCCCTGGAGCCTGGCTGGGGTGTGGCCGTCACCCCTCCCGCCTGCAGGGCCGGCCCTGAACCCGCCCACACGCCCCCGCCCCTTGGCACCTTCTGTCTTACTTCCTCTCCCAGCGCCCGCCGCTGAAGCGGACTGGAGACAGCCACTGGCCCCGAAAAGCGGGGCTGCTGTGTCACGCCCTTGCGATGTGGCGCCCAAGAAAGCTAGTTAAACCCCAGCGGGCCCAGCCCCTGCAGCTCTCGAGGGCAGAAACTAAAATAACAGCTATTTTCAGAGGCCCAACTATAGAGTGACCCACCCCTGCCCAACCCCAAATTGTAGGGCCTGCAGCCCTGTCACCTCCCCGGGCAGAGGGACACCACCCCTGGCCACAGTTCTCACAAGACCGTAGCCCTCCAGGAACCCGGCCAAGGAAACGGAGAACCGCCAAAGGCACTAGCCTCGTTCTCCCACAGGTAGGGTGCCAGATAAAATCAGGGTGCCCAGCTGAACGTGAGTTTCAGGTAAACAACGAACAGGCTCTCAGGATAAGCACGCCCATAATTGCGTGGGAAACACTTACATTGCTTACCTGAAATCCATCATTAACTGGGCATCTTCCTGTTGTTTCTTGTTCGTGTTCAATCCAGCAACCCTACCCTCAGGTCCAGTCCTAGATATACAGTTGGTGCTCAACTGATGCCTAAATTCTTTGTTCTTGGTCCGTCACCCCAGATTTGGACCAACATTTCTCACACATGTTTCTACACCAGAATCCCCTTAGGGGTCATTAAAACACACATCCTTGGGCCCCACCACCGTCCATGCCAGGGGGCCAGAGGCTGCCCAGGGACCCGCATCCCTGCAAACTTCCCCGGGGGAGTCCACTGCACACGGGGTTTCAGAAGCAGTTGGCCTAAACCTTGACCCTGCCTTTCTAACGTGACCTTGCAAACAGGACACCAGCCCACGGCCCACGAGTCGCCCTCCGGGATCAAAGACGGTGCTCTTCACTGGGGACATAGGAAGGTGGTTTTTCCAAAAGCAAGATCCACAAATATGCATTCTCAGTCTGTAGACACTCCAGGCGAAGTGAGGCCGAAAGAACGTGTGGGACCCCCGTGCTCGAAGCTGCCAGCGTTCTACGTGCTACGGGAGGCGGGCGGGGTGGGGCGGCGCGGCGTTACCTGGTACCCACCTACAGCCTTGCTTCCTGCAGCACAGCGCCCTTGGGAGCTGGTGTCATCAGGGATTCAGAATAGGCCTGAATGGCCTCCTTATCCTTTGAGCCCTTTTTACTACTACTCCAAAATAAATAGCACTTCTCCTAGAAGATAACCAAGCTAGTTTATAGTTGACGTTGAAGCCACACAGCAAAGCTTTTACGAGCGTCTTCGATTTTCAAAAAGCAAAGAGGAAACTGGCAAGGTGCAGAATCGGAGAGTCCGGCAACCCTTAGGGAGAGCGGTGGGCTGAGATCTGGGGGAGCAGGCGCCCTGGACAGAAACGCAGCATCTTCGGGAAGCACGCTCGGAAGGGCAGGCAAGCCACGCTTAAAGGGTTCACCCACGTGAAACCTCAGGCCACAGAGGAGGAGTGAGCGGGGTGGCTGGGCCCCGGCGGGCAGAGTCAGTGGACGGAACGTTGTAAATCGACCAGGAACAAACAGATTTTTCTATTAAAACGTGTGATTTTTTTTTCCTTTAAAGAATGACTTGAGAAGAAAAATTTCTCTGAAGTTAAAATACGCTGAGTTTGCCAGCAGGAGAGTTTTTTAAAAAAATCAGGACAAATATATAAAAACAAGGAAGGCCTAACCTTGCTAAGTCAAAGAATACATAGTGGCATAAATTATAATCACTTGGCCTCCAAGGACACCCGCAGGGAGGAGCCTCCGCCGCACCGTCCGCAGGAACGACAGTGTTCCTACTGGATTTGGGTGACACTGACTGGGGGCTGACACAGGGAAGGGGACCCTCGCCACCTTCACATTCTGCGCTTCCGGATCCCCTTCCCCGTCCCCTTCTGACGGACGACTAGGAGAGAGACAGAAAGGGACGGAGGGGCCAGGCTGTCTTGGCCTCCTACGGCCCAGCCCCTCACAGCCGGTCCCCAGGGACCCCCTCATGCGGCTGTGTGTGCCTCACTAGCAGGCACCTTGGTGAGGCTCTGCCCGGGGGAGACAGTCGCAGGCTGGGAGCGTGGCTTCAGGATGCATAACCAGTCAAGAAACCGTAGCAAGTTCCCTTTTGCTCCCTGGAATCACAGCAACAGAGGAGGGGGCGCCCCTGAGGGCTGGTCAGACCCAGTGGTCATCTGGGGCTCAAACACGAAAGGCAGTGATGTGTCAAGAGCTGGTGGCCCCTGGCCACCTCGCACAGCGGCAACACATGCCCCAGAGGACAGGGAATTTGGAAGTTGGGTTCCAGGTCCAAAAGCCCAGGTGCAGAGCCTAGAATTACCACCCAGCAAGCAAGCAAGCACGCAGCTTCCTCCAAGGAGGCGAGAAAGAGACAAAGCGAGAGAGCAGGGGCCGAAGACGACCCAAAGGCCAGCAGCGCAGCTGGGCACCCTAAGGTCCCATGGAAGGCCTCGGCCTGTGGCCCCAGGATGACTCAGGTGGGGGCCACCTCCTGAGTGGGTGGCTTTCTGGTTCATGCATTCAAAAACGGCCTTTCCTGCCTTCCTGCCAGTGGGTGGCGTCCCCTCCCCCGCCCCTCGAGCTCTGTGGTCGCAGCTCTCTTGTCATCCTGTGACTAGAGTATTAACAATTCACTTAAAGGTCTTAAAGGGCTGTCTTGCCCCGGTCCCAGACTTCATGTTCTGGTCATTTCCGTATCCCCTGACCTGTGCACAGCGCCTCACAAAACGCAAGTCGCTTGGCAAAGGCGTGCCAGTGAATGCCATGAATGAATGAACGGCCCCAGACAAAGAAGGGGTCTATGTTGTCGCCCCTCTTCTTGCTGCTCCAGAAGGTTGGACGCCCAGGGCTGCAGCTGCCCGTTTTAGTTGCCCTCCTGCTATCAGCTCCCACTTTGAGCTCACCTGGGCCTCCTCACTGGTCACCTGCCCCCCTCCCAACGGAGGGCCTATTCGCCACGCGGCAGCTCCTCTCTTTAAAAGCCTCCAACGGCTTCCCAGAATCAGTTCCAAGCTGCTCATCCTGTGTCACAGGGCCTGGTGTGACCTGCCCTGACCCCTCTCAGATGCCACCTCCTACCTCTCTCTCCTCCTACTCCTCTCCAGCCACCCTGGCCCTGCCTGACCCTCCAATGGGCCTCACCTGTCCCTGCCACGGGGCCTTTGCACTGGCTGTTCTGTGAAACATTCTTTTTGTGGCTCTGTGCTGAGTGTCCCCCTGGCATTCCCATTCCAGCTTACACTCTACCTCTTCAGAGGGGCCTTTCCTACACTCTACCTGCACCTGTTTCCAGCCCCCACCCCCGCACATGCACGTCCAGTCTGGGAGACACACACAGCTGCTGAGCCCCTGAAATAGGGCCAGTCCACATCGAGACCTGCTGTGAGTGTACAACACACGCTGGCTCTCCAAGACTTAATTTGAAAAAAAGAGAATGCAAAAATATTTATATCTTTCATACTGACTACATGTCAAAATGATAATATTTTGGATATATTTGGGTTAAATAAAATTTAGGATCAAAATTAACCTCACCTGTTTCTTTTGACTGTGGCCATCAGAAAATTCAAACTTGAAATCTCAGGTGGTTCACGTTGTTTCCATTTGACGCCAGGGCTCTAGCCCATCACGTTTCTATCGTGTTTATCATCAGGGAAATTATCTTTCCTGCTTGTTTACTTGGTTTTCGTCTGTCTCCCAGACTGGAAAGCCAGCCCCCTCGCTCCCCCAGAGTAGGATCTCGCCTGTTGTATGCTGGCACCTGACGGAGCCTGGCATCTCGGGCATCGCCGCCCAAAGGATCCAAGTGCCAGGCTTCACGACCCAAAACCCACCTGCACCCCTCCGAGGGAGGGCCCCAGGCCTTCCAGAACAAGCAGAGCAGCGGCAACGCGGGGTGCAGAGATGCGAGGGTGCAGGGCCGGTGCCCGCAGAGACGCGGGCTCCGGGAGGACGGCGCGGGGGGTCCGACCCGAGGCCCCAGCCCCCAGCCACCCGGGCCCGCCTGGCCACCACCTACCTGGCTCCGGACCTGGTAGACGACGGGGATGAGCAGCAGCGCGCAGCCCAGGCCGAGGAGCACGTACTGCGCATAGTGAAGCACCTTGGGCATCAGCACCAGCTGCCTGTAGAAGGCGTTCAGCGGCTCGCCCTCCATGGCCCCGCTCTGGGGAGGCAGAACGACACGCGCGTGAGCCGGGGCCGCGGGCCCAGAGGACAGCTGCCCCCTACAACACCGTCCTCCGGAACCCTCTCACTCCTTCCGCTCCCATCCCGGGACACATGGCGAGACTACATTTCCCAGACTCCCTTGCAGGTGGGCAGGGCCGTGTGATCGCGTCCTGACCAATGGGAGGCAAGTCTGGCCCATAAACCCCTCCCATATGATGCTCCATCCCTCTCCCCACCAATGAATGGAGCCGAAGCCTGAGCATCTCCGGGAGGGCGGGGCCGCCAGACAGGAAGCGTCCTGGCGCCCCGAGTGACAGCGTGGAGCGGAGCTCCGCCTCCCGCCGACCCGCGGCGGACGGGGCTGGGATGGGTGGGAACTTGGGGCTCCCAGGCTGTCCTAGCCGTTAGCTCACTCTGATTCGAAACGAGGTAGCCGATAAAAAATAAATGCAGTCAATAAAATAAAATGAGCTATGCCAGAAGAAATTCTGAAAAGCCGGGAGAGGAGAAGGTTCAAGGGAAAGCGGACCCCTTGAGACCAACTTCCCCCTCCCGGGAGAGGTCACACCCACGAACAAAACGGTTCACGCCCGGAGCCACCTCACACTGCTGCTGTCTTCCCGTCTGAAGGGCTCCCTCCGACTCACTGGCACAATTGACACAGGTGCCTGGGCAGAGTGAAGTTTCCGGTACGTTGTTCACCGTCCCCCGGGCCCAGACCCCCGCCTCACATGCCCACCTGGGCCCCCCACGAGGGGACCCGACACCACCGCGACCGAACGCGGCCCTACCTCTCCAAACCACAGCAGCGGCAGGACCACCGGCTCGATGCTCCCCGTTTGTCTGGAATTAAGCAAGGCATGCAGGTGAGAGGATTTGCCAGTGTTTGCATCACGCAGCTTTGGACACTCGGGGGTCAGGAGGGGTTTGATGTTGCAATGAAGGTATCACCTCCCTTTCCACGGTCTCAGTTAGCCCTGCACAGTCCAGTAAGACACTGTGAGGCACAGAGACCACATTCACAACCTTCATGACAGTATATTATTATAATTGTTTTGTTATTTGTTATTATTCTTAATTGTTTACTATGCCTAATTTATAAATTAAACCATCATGGATATACATGTAGAGAATAAAATAATACATACTGTATAGGGTTTGGTACTATCCCCGGTTTCAGGTGTCTACCGGGGGTCTTGGAACGTACCCCTTGCCGTACTGTACTTGACTGGTGTGGGCTGAGGGCATGGGTGTTTTGATGCTGCTGGAAGGAATCTCCCCTGGCAAGGAGCAACTTGACAGTCTGACAATAATGTTTTAAAATTAAAAACTCACATCTCCTATATGGCAGAGACCAGTGACCTAGCCAAGGTCCATTCGTTCCTTTTGGAAACAAAATCCCAATTTTATCTGGGATGGCAGTGTACCCAGTTAAAAGACTCTATCTCAGCCTCTCATGCAGGGAGTGTGGACAGTGTGACAATGTTCTGGTGAAAGAAATGTTAGCAGAAGCGTTATGTGGGATAGCTGGGAAGGTGAGGCTGCTTTAAAAGGAACTTTCACAGCTGGGAAGTGAACCCTTTTTCCCTTCTCTCTTTCAGATGCTTGGAAGGCAGATGCAATGGCTGGAGCTCCAGCAACCATTTGAGTAAGAGGTGATCTCAAGGATGGAAGCAACGTGCTACAAAAACGGAACAGAAGGATGGAACTTGGACCACGGATGTCTTTGGGGAACTGCCACACTGGGACTGTCTGCCTCCAGACATCTTCTAAAAGAAGATTTAAAAAATAACAATAAACCTTGGTCCCATTCGAGCCACAACTGTTGTGTTTTCTGTTCTATGCAGCCAAACCTAACTCCACCAATATACGTTCATGACCCAGCAATTAGGCTCTTCAGAAACTGCCCAGGAGAAGTTCACACATGTGTACAAAGAGGCACAAAGATGTTCAGTGTTGCTTGGAATAGCAAAAACAAATGGAAAAACCAAAAAGAAAGCCTATATATTCTCTATGGCAACATATATATTTGCATATATGTAAATGTAAATAAGTAGGAAAACGCCTAAAGGAATGTTCACCAAACCGCTGATGGTGGCCACCACTGGGGAATGGGGGTGTCATCGGAAGCTCTATTTATTTTTTCCATCAGGCATATATGTTCATATTACCTGTGAAATTAAAACTTACATGTCCAGTTTAAAAGATAATATAATCCAAGAGGGGGAGTTAACGTTACCTGGAGAAGCCGGAAAACCACTACCTCATCCAGGTGATCAAGTTCAACATCACCAGTGATTTAGTAATATTGACAGAATGTACCCCTCGATATGATGCGCTGACAATGCAAATTTATATCCCAAAAACCCACAACCCCAGTCTAATCCTGAGAAAAATGTCAGACAAATCCCAGCAGAGGGGCATCCCACAGACTACCTAACCAGTCCTCCCGAGCGTCAAGGCCATCGGAAACGAGACAACAAACGTTCACAGCCAAGAGGAGCCTGAGAAGACGTGACAACTAAAGGTGACATCTGTGAAAACGTGAAAACGTCCCCTTCCGTGGCACAGGCGACCGTGCAGGTGTGATTAAGTCAGGGCTCTGGAGCTGGAGAAGGCAGGGAACGGATTCTCCCCCACAGCCTCCCAAAGGAACACAGTCCTGCATCCTGCTGACACTTTGATTTGAGCCCAGTAAGACTCATTTTGAACTTCCGACCTCCAGAACTGTAAGATAATTTTACAAGGACGCCACTACGTGTGTGGTGAATTCGTGACGGCAGCAATGGGAAACTGGCACCCAGCATGGAGCGGGGGCCCCCCGCCGCGTGAGCCACCTCCACGTGCGGTGCTCGGCCTGCTCACCCGCCCGCACCTGGCTCTGCCCTGGCCTCGCTCCTCTCAGACGCCCTCCAGGCTCGGCCGGTGAGAATCAGACACCCTGCTCCGGCATCCAGAGCCTCTCGCATCTGGCTTCTCACACCCCAGCCACACTCCTCCCTGCCCCCGCCTGCTTGGCACTCAAGCCAAACTGAAGTACACAGAGCTGGTCCCCACGTGCCCTTGGCAGGGCAGATCTAGCCCGAACCCCGCTTCCTCGTCTCACCCCAAACCCCGACCCTGCCACTGCTCCCAAGAACGCCCATGTCTGGGCTTCCCCAGGGGACTCACGGGTAACCAGGCTTGGTCGCAACTTCCCACCCCCAACAGGACCCCCCACACAACAGGTGCCCGGCAATGAAGGCCGTGCAGGGCGGAGGTTAACAGCACACACTCTGCAGCCCAGCTGCCCGGGTTCCAACCCCACCCCGTCCCACTGCCAGGGGAAGAGTTCAAGGCACAGGTCTCCTCAGACAGGCTGCGGGCGAGGGCAGCCCTTGGCTGGCATCTGGGAACTCAGATTTCGGGAGGGTTCCCACCGTTCCCTAACTGATAAGAGTGGCTCGTTGTGTCTAAACTGTTTGTACAAATAACGGGTTTACGTTGAACACCCAGCTTCCTTCTGAGAGTCTGGAATTTGGGTGCCTGCCAGGCAGAAGTGGCTACATAATCAGCCCCCGACACAAACCCTGGGCGCTGAGTCTCTAACTGGCTTCTCTGGTAGACGACACTTCACGTGGATTGTCACAACTCGTTGCTGGAGGAACTAAGCACATCCCATGACTCCCCTAGGAGGAGACTCTGGAAGCTCGAGCCTCGTTTCCTCTGGACTTGGCCCAGTTCCCCTTCCCCTTTGCTGACTTTGCTGTGGATCCTTTCGCTGTAATAAATCATAGCCGTGAGCATGACCACGTGCTGAGTCCTGTGAATCTTCCCAGCAAACTATCGAGCCTGGGGTGGGCTTGGGGGCCCCTGACACGGCCCCTTACTAGCTGTGTGCCCAAGCGCATGCTACTTAGCCTCTCTGTGCGTCTTCTGTAAAACAGGGATTGTAACATAGCTCCTCCCAGGGCTCCAGGGAGGACGAAATGCAATGATATCAGTAAAGTGCTTAAAAAACTACCCAACACGGAAAAGCACTTGGTACGTTTGTTATTGTTATTGTTGGTAAACACCAGCGAACAAATGGACACACAAATATTCTATAACTTCACCATCTGGATTAAAGGAAGGCAGAGCAGTACCAAGGGGAGATGGAAC